AACATTAACAGGCAATATTAAGGCAAGATCAATAGGTATACCCAAAAAGTCACTCTGAGAAATGGAAGACACAAAAATGGAAAACACAAGTAGTACTAAAAATCCAGTTAAAGCTGTAATGCATAACAATCTACCTAGAAATCACAAACAGGCAGCTGGTTACTGCAGGAAGGCTTGTATGAAGAGGAAGGTCTTTGTCTGCTTGTGGAAGGACAGCAAAGAGGGTCCAGTCTGGTCTCCTGTGGGATGGAGTTCCAAAGTCTGGGAGCAGCCACAGAGAAGGCTGTCTCCCATGTTTCCATCAGATATACCTGTGAAGGTGGCGGGACTGAGAGAAAGGCCTCTCCTGATTATCTTAATACCTGAGCTGACTCATAATTGGAGATATGGTCTTTGAGGCAGCTTGGACCCAGATCATTTAGGGCTTTGAAGGTTAAAACCAGCACTTTAAACAGGTGCCTGGTAGTTGATGGGCAAGCAGTGGAGCTGCTGTAACAGGGGGGTTATGTGATCCCTGTAACCAGCCCCAGTTCGCCATTTGACTGTCGCATTTTAGACCTGTTGAAGTTTCCTGACACTTTCCATTGGCAGCTCCACACAGAGCACATTACAGTAATCTAGACTATGACAAAGTTAATATTCACAAATTATTGGAAAAGTGATAACCAAATTGACATTGAGGAATGATATAGAGAAATGTGGAATATGGGAATTAATTTATAAGTAGAGAAATGAAAATTAGAAGAGAATTACCAAAAAGTAATGATTTTAAAGAAATGTGGAATGTATTTCTAGAGAAAGGGAGGGGGTATACATTGGGAGAAGAATCAATGTGTCTCTGGAGAGCAGTGGAGTGATAAGAAATGTAAGCACACAGAACATGAACCAGGTCCCAAGGGAGCAAATGGCACAGTTAGAGAAATGTGGCTGTAAGTAAAGCAGTTTAATTTTAGCCGAAATAATGTTGTGTATTGTAAATTTGTGGTTTTGTTTATATCTTTTTTGTAAAAAAAAGATTTAGTTTAAAACGACAGATAAGAAAGGATGCTTGAGAAAAAAATCCCATATGAGAAAATCTGCTGTCAGCCTTTCACAAGTGTTTATGTTCTCTTATTCCACCATCACTTTTTTCAGTGTTGCCAAGCTTTGAAGTTGTTCTGGAACCAGCAGAGACGTTTTATTACATTGACATGACAGCAGATTTCAAAGTGTCTATCACTGCAACGTAAGTGTGTGACAACCTTTGGGGAAAGCATAGAAGAAAAAACCTGAGTCCTGCTTAGCTTCATCAATTCATCACAGAAGAATTGCAGTGTGGTGTTTGATGGAGTGCTTCTAGCTTGAGCTTTTCCCACAAAAATCATCCTGCTTGAACACTGGGAATTTTACAGGCATTGAGGGCAGATGAGAGTGTCTTCAACTTTTAATTTGTCCATGTTTCCCAATTCTTTTTCCTTTTTTATTTTCACACACCTAACATATGACTTAGAGATGGGTACGCCAACATGATGGTTTGTCTTGGCTCATGGTTTGTGGATGTCCATGAACCATGATTTTAGGAATTATTCCGGAATGAACCACAAACCGAGTCTTTGATTTGTTTGGGAATATTTTTAGACAGCTCAGTGGCTGTCTTTAAAAAAAAAGTCTGGCTGCTTCCCCACCTCCATAGCTTGCCCTCCCCTCCCACTGGCCCATGCCCCCCCTGCCTTTTTCTCCTGCCAACACTGCTTCCATCTTGAGAGGGCTCTGGCGCCCACAGACTAGCAGCCTTTGCACACATCCCTGCCTCTCAGCTTATAGGTGGGAACATGAACAGAAAACAAAAAAGAAAATATGTAATGTTTTGTTAGCTGGCTTATCAGTCCACTAGGGGGCCTCTGTTAAGAGGTGGGCACCTATGCAGATAGAGATAGCAGGCCTGGCTCCTGGGAGGCAACTGGCCACTATCTCTCTATATGGTGGCGAAGGAGGCAGCAGGACAAGGCAGGGAGGCAATGGGGAGCAGTGGGAAGGGAGTGAGAGGAGGCTGTGTCTGTGAGGGGAAAACAAACCAGGAAATTTGTTCAATCAGGGGAAAATTCATTTATTCAGGAAAGTTCAAGGTCTCTGGTTTGGATGAACCTAACCAATCTGAATCAACAACTCAGCGATTTATGATGAATTTCCTTGTTTGTCTTTTAATTTGGGCCCTCTCTTAATACAATTCATTAAGTAAGAAAAGATGGACTAGCTACACAATGTATTTCAGTTCACAGAGTTAGGAATTTTAAAATTCAGAACAAATCTCAAATATGTTTACTAGGAAATTTTAACATTTTCATCATCATCATTATTCAAAAATACCAGACACATTCAATTTACTCATTTCCCAGATAGTTGCTATAGGTAGTTTCTTCTGTCCAATTTATTTTAAAGAATTTTTGCAGATCTTTTTTTGTATTTTAAAAGAATATCTTCTTGTATCAACAAGTTATCATTTAGTCTCCATCTTCTTCTCATAATTCCTTCCCTTCTCCAAGTCATTTTAAGGGGTTATGGTCTCCCATTATTTTTGGTATAAGTTCATTGTTTTCTTAGTATTTAATACTAGCTTTCAATAACCAACACATGTCAATCCTGGAGTATGTTTGGTGTGTCTCTGAAAAAAAAGCGTAGTCTCTTTTAGTTGGATTAATTTTTCTCCATCCATCTATCAATTGCAGTCATCCCATATATTTGAATACATTCTTAGTATTCTTAGTATACAAGTGATCGTATAGACCAGATGGGCGGGATACAAATCAAATCAAATAAATAAATAAATAAAATAAAAATGTCATTTTCTTAGATTTGTCTTTTTAAGGGTCCATTATTCCACATGGGACGTGGTGGCGCTGCGGGTTAAACCGCAGAAGCCTCTGTGCTGCAATGTCAGAAGACCAAGCAGTTGTAAGATCAAATCCATGCAACGGAGTGAGCTCCCACTGCTTTGTCCCAGCTCCTGCCAACCTAGCAGTTTGAAAGCATGTAAATGTGAATAGATAAATAGGTACCACCTTTGTGGGAAGGTAATGGTGTTCTGTGTCTAGTTGTGCGGGCCACGTGACCACAGAGACTGTCTTCGGACAAAAACACTTGCTTTATGGCTTGGAAACGGAGATGAAGCTTCGAAAAGCTTTTCTCTTTGAGCTGGATGAAAAATTCCATGTAGCAGCCTTGGCCAGAGATGATAAGGAACCAAGACACAACACCGAGACGAAGGACAACAACACCTGCACTTCTCGTGGGAATTGGAGGTTTGGTGAGAAGAGACAGTCTTTTATGCTGATTGGTTAACATCTCAGAAGAATGAAGAAGAAGGGTGGTCCCAGGAAGGAAGAAAACAGAGAATGGAGTCAGAGACTAGAATTGCTTTTAGGATGGATGGATTGATTTTAGGACTGAGAACTAGAATGGAGTTTTGAGATCCAAATGCTAGTTTTTAATACTATGCTAGGATGTAGTTCATAGAAAGGATAGAAAAAGGGGGCTATGCCTGGCCTACCTTCTAAGCAATTTTTTAGAGTTTTTTATTTTATTTTGCTAGATGGAATTTGTTAAGATTCTAACTGCAATTCTGTATGGAAATGTACTTTATGCTATGCTTTTGCAACAAACTGAATATCTTTAAATACTTTATTTTTCTAATAAAACAATAATTTTATTAGAAAATATATTAGAAATATTTTAACTGTATTGTTGTTGTTTTATTGTTGTAAGCTGCCTAGAGTAATCTTAATTGATTAGATAGGCGGGATATAAATAAATAAATAAATAAATAAATAAATAAATAAATAAATAAATAA